TCTAGTACCCACGATTCTAATACTAGGGTCCGACTTAGGTCGTAATATTAGTCTAGCTGTTAGTCTAGTAGGCGTATAGTACCTACGACTTCTATATATATATATATATATATATATATATATATATATACACATATATATGTATATGTATATACATATATATGATTTTGTGGGGTTTATTTCTATCATTTATACCAGCAAATGTTATTTATAATTGGACCTTGGACCTTGTGGTTCGTAATTTAGACAGTAATGTATGTACGATTCCGAGGGTTTCTATCTGTCCATCATCTATACTAGCAATTTTTTTTGATAGTTGCAGGATTACATTCATGCTGTCCCACGACATCCCTGTTCTGGCAAATTTTTTGTGAATATTGTATAGATCAAAACCATAATACCTGTGTAGTTTCATTACTAAGAGCTATTCTGGTATGGCCCACAGTGCACCATCTATTAGTTGGATACATATGCTAGTTGGATTTTTCAATAGTATTGTTGCTTAATGCAATGCCTATGGAGGGATTCCATAAAACTAAGAGTATGAGCTAACTCCTCTTTTATTGTGTCTTAATAGCAATGCTAGTGATGCTCTGGATAAACTGCGTTTTCTGAGCGTCACAGAGCCTGAACTTCTGAGGGATGCTGTTGACTTGGATATCCGCATCCAATCGGACAAGGATAATGGGATTATTACTATCACGTATGTTGAATGTTATTTTCTTTGATTTTATATAGATTCCTTCTAATTTGAATGAAGCTCTGGTGTCCTAAGCACTTACTTATTGGTACGTAGGGATTCTGGAATTGGTATGACAAGGCAAGAACTCGTGGACTGTCTTGGAACCATAGCACAGAGTGGGACAGCTAAGTTTTTGAAAGCACTGAAGGTGGTCTTTTAAAGACCAGTGACAATGACCTTTTGGAGTTTAGATTTATTGTGGAGTGAGTTCTCGTTTTCTGAAATTTTCTGATTCTTGATGGTGCAGGATAGCAAGGATGTTGGGTCTGACAGCAATTTGATTGGTCAATTTGGGGTTGGCTTCTATTCTGCCTTCCTAGTTTCTGATCGAGTAAGGCTTTGTAATTCATAATTTGTTCTGTTCCTGAAGCATTCAATTCCATATGTTGCCTTTGTTGCTCTTGTATTTTCCAAAATAGTCTATGAACTATGACGTTGTTTCCACTCTTTCATCTATTCCAGCGTTGTTGTTTTAGCTCTCTTGGCTTATTGTAATCTGGTTGCTGGTAGTCTAGCTATATATTGGGCCATTCAATTAGAGAAGTTTGTCCCCTGAAAACTTCTGTTTTTTGTTGCTTCAAGGTGGTGGTTTCAACCAAGAGTGTGAAGTCTGACAAACAATATGTTTGGGAGGGTGAGGCAAATAACAGCTCATATACTATCAGGGAAGAAACCGACCCTGAAAAACTACTTCAAAGAGGCACTCGCCTCACATTGTACTTGAAGGTGCAATTTGTTGTATTTCTTATTCAAGGTTTTCACTAAATTGGTACCTTATGGAATTATTTAAGATAATTGTTATACATCGAATGAACTGTCTGTTGCTGTTTCTCATGTACAGCGAGAAGACAAAGATTTTGCACATCCAGAAAGGATTCAAAATCTTGTGAAGAATTATTCACAGTTTGTTTGCTTCCCAATATATACCTGGCAAGAAAAAGGATTCACTAAAGAGGTAATATTGGAGGCCTTCTAAGATTGGTATTCTTCTATGTGAAGTTAAACATTATTGATGTTCTGGATGATTTCACATTGTTCACTGGGCTTGTCGAGCAGGTAGAGGTTGATGAAGATCCTGCTGAAGCTAAAAAAGAGGGTGATGATGCCAAAACTGAGGTACTTAGCAGAAAATTGTAGATTATAACATTGTTTCTTACTATTTCAATTATATTTTGTGAATTCCAATGTGTGCAGCTTCTAATAATTGCATCTTTTGATGTTATCCAACAGAAAAAGAAGAAAACCAAGACTGTCGTGGAGAGGTATTGGGACTGGGAGCTCACCAATGAGACCAAGCCGCTATGGGTGGGATTTCTAACTATTTGTTCTCATCATCATCACTTTCATGTTTATGTTCAATAGAACGTGTAAATAAATGTAGTCTGATGGTTGTTTCTCTCGTGGAATGAGAAATGCCCATCTAGTATTTACATTTTTGGCTGTTTTTAGTCGTGAACGTTCCAATTCTGCAGCTTCGCAACCCCAAAGATGTCACAACTGAGGAGTACAATGAATTTTACAAGAAGACTTTCAATGAGTACTTGGAGCCCTTGGCTTGTTCTCACTTCACTACGGAGGTAAGCCTTGTACTTTTGAACCGGTCCTTCTCATATTATTAGTAAGCAACATTTTTTTCTTGCTTCCTTTGCTCCTTATGCTGAAGGATGGGTTGTATTTTGAAGGGGGAAGTTGAATTTAGATCAATCCTTTTTGTTCCTGCCATGACTCCAATGGGACGAGATGATATTATTAACCCCAAGACTAGGAACATCCGGCTGTATGTTAAGAGGGTTTTCATCTCAGATGATTTCGATGGGGAACTGGTGAGTGGTTTTGTGTTCCTTTTTCTTGTGTGAGAGGTTTGGAGAACGCTCTGCTCATGAATCTTATGGTTCTTTGTAAATTAGTTTCCGAGATATCTGAGCTTTGTGAAAGGTGTTGTGGATTCAAATGATCTTCCCCTAAATGTCTCACGTGAGATTCTCCAAGAGAGCCGTATTGTAAGTCTATCATCCTTTTTCTGCTTTTTATAAGTAGCATCTTATTTTATTTTCTTCTCTGGATGATGATTTATAGACATCTAAGCACCTATTTCTGATTGGTGCAATGCGCTACTTGTCATATTGGCAGGTACGAATCATGAGGAAGCGATTGGTTCGGAAGACCTTTGACATGATCCTGGGCATATCCATGAGCGAGAATAGAGATGTAAGTTCTTTCATATTAGTTGTCAAACGGGAAAATAAACAGTGGTGTGAGTTGTACACCCCATTAAAAATTTATGTGCTCTTTTGTGAGCAGATGACAAAAATCATTTCTGAAAATAAAACTAACTTTTTCTGGACTTCTGTAATACAATGAGCCGGCACTGAGAGAAGGATTGACCTTGACAAATCTAAAACTAGAGATACTAAAAAGAATAGGAAATTTGAAGTTATAGGATGTGAGGGGACTAGGGGTGGAAATGAGAAACTCCTAGAAAGTATCTAATAATCATGGAATCATAGTCAAACATGTGAACTGTATGCAAACTTGTCCTTCCACATTTAATATATTACTGTAGCTGAGCTCATGAAGGCTAAAGCTGTTAACCTTGTATAAAGACTAGAAGTACTCAAAAAATCCACAGAGACCATGGCAAAAATAAAACTATACAGGTGAAATTACAAGGGAACATATAAGAGTAACTAAACACAGTTGCTAATTAGAAAGATTATGTTTCTTTACTACTGCAGGATTATGACAAGTTTTGGGAGAACTTTGGCAAGAATTTGAAATTGGGTTGCATTGAAGACAAGGAAAACCACAAAAGGATTGCTCCACTTCTCAGGTTCTTCTCCTCCCAGAGCGAGCAAGAGCTCATCAGCCTGGATGAGTATGTTGAGAATATGAAGCCAGAGCAGAAGGACATCTATTACATTGCTGCTGACAACCTCACAAGTGCTAAGAACACGCCTTTCCTAGAAAGACTTCTTGAAAAAGACTATGAGGTTTGTACTTTGTACTGGTTTCTATTAAGATAACAACAATCCATGGTCTATGTAAAATCAAAAGGGAATAAATTTACATACAAAAGCTGTTAACCCTGCTTCCACCTCTGCCTCATTTAGCTCACATGACTGCCTAATGTCTGGTGTATTAGGTTCTCTTTTTGGTTGAACCCATTGATGAGGTTGCAATCCAAAATCTCAAGTCATACAAGGAGAAGAATTTTGTGGATATCAGCAAGGAGGACTTGGACTTGGGTGACCACTCTTTTCCTTCACACTTGAATTTTTTTTTATTATTTTCTAGTTTTTCGTTTCTTTGATACATAAATTTGTTTCATTTTGATTATTGATGTTTGATTGTCATGTGTTGATTTATTCTGTGCGATCGTTGGAGCAGGTGACAAAAATGAAGACAGAGAGAAGGAAATGAAGCAGGAATATGGGAAAACATGTGATTGGATTAAGAAGAGATTGGGTGACAAGGTGGCTAGTGTTCAGATCTCCAATCGTTTGAGCACCTCACCTTGCGTTCTTGTGTCTGGGAAATTTGGCTGGTCTGCTAACATGGAAAGGTGGTAGATAGCACCTCTTGCAATTGGTCTTCGGAATTTCATGCATATTTTAATTTCGAGGAAAAGAAGAGGGAAGCATTATGTATATGCTAATACTGCAGGCTGATGAAGGCTCAGACGCTTGGAGACACGTCTAGTCTGGAGTACATGAGGGGGAGGAGAGTGTTTGAAATCAACCCAGAGCACCCAATCATCAAAGACTTGAACGTAAGTAAGATGAAGCCTAGTAGAAATTGTTATTTTATTGGCTTATTTAACTATTTACTATTTTCATTTGGTGTTTTTTGGACTCTTGGCTTTGGCGCACTTTCAAACAATATTTTGTTTCTTTTAGTTTTTTAAAGATAAGAGTTATGATCCTATGAGACCCTCTCACACCCACGTGTGTAGGACCTCAAAGGATCACCATTAAATTTGGTACAGATCTCTAGAAAAGTTATCGTATGGGTGTGGGACTTGACCTTTAGAGATCTGTGTCAAATTTAATGGTGATGCTTTGGGGTCCTACACACATGGGTGTGGGAGGGTCTCATAGGATCATTACTCTTAAAGATAATATCAAAATATGATATTGTGGATCCATGTTGGAAAAACCAGGCGATCTAACCCCGAATGGCCACAAGTTGGTTCCAGTTTCGTGCAGTTTTGGTGATCTACCGGTATTTAAAAACAAAAATTCACAAAAATTTATTTAAAATCCCAAAAATAAGGAATTTGGTTTGTAATACATTTTTTAATATTCTTTACATTATGGTAAAGATTAGAAATTGTTTTGGTCATTAATACTCATTTTTATATTTTCCCATCTTTTTTTGAAAATTTTAAAAATACCCCTAGGCCCAAATCGATTCTTTAAAATCTATTTTTTTCATTAATTTTCAACTTCATTTGAATGCGTTTTGTTTTAATTATTCTTTATATGTTTCTCAAATTAAACCAGATTTTTTTTTGTATCTTTTTTATTTTTTTTCAACAATTTTTTGACCGCCCGGGGCTTGCCTGGTTAGAATGGTTGAATCGGCCTGATTACCGATTAGGCCGGTTAAACCACTTCCGGCCCCATGTCCGGTTAACCGTTTCGGTTCGATTTTGTGAACATTGTTGTGGATTTAAAATTAAGGAAAAAATAGAGGTGAAAGCTTTTTGGAATGATAATAGCCACCCATGTAACCTAGTGCTTTTTCATTCACTTTTGTCTAAGTAATAAAAATCACATTTAATTGGCTAAAAAGTTATATCTTTCCCATCACTTATCTATCACGTTCACCTTGTCAAAAATTACAAGGGGAAATAATAACATTAACACTTTGCATCACCAGAATTATGTAAATTTTCATGCTCTAGATAACGTCTTAGTACCGAAAAAATATTGTTAACAAGATGAAATTGGACCAGCCAGTCCAACTGGTCAGATTGTTGATTAATGCCTTGTCCGGTTTGGTTACAAATCAAAAACTAAATTCGGTTAAAAACTGATCAAAACTTATGTTAGGCCGGTTGGACTAGCTATTTTTTTACTATTTGGATATGGTAAATGTTGGACAATTAATATATTTCATATTTTTAAGCTATTATTCTTTTTATGTTTAAAAAAAAAAAATCAATCAAATCGATTTAGTGATTGAATTGGTTTTTACTGGACTAAACCCTTAAATTGGATTGATGGCCTGTCTAATTGATCTAATAAGCGTAAATAATTAACAAATAACAACTATGAAAATTGTCCTCTATTGATTGGTTGTTTTAATATATATTTTACCGCCAATTAATGGATTATTAAGATTTTGACAGGAAACTATTTAGGGATGGCCCTCTCAAACTTTGTATTAAAATTTAATGACCTATGTTTCCAAGTAGACTTGCTTTTGTGAGGAATAAATGGAAAGAGCTCTGAACTTGTCTTTGCACAACCATAAAGACCTGTCTCTGGCCTAGATGGCCACATCAAACCAAATGTAATAATCATGATTTCACTATTCTTAATACTAGTGCTACATCTATTTAGACTTTTTGTTATTGAGTTTTTGTTTGTTCTTACTGCTGTTTTGTATATTACAGGCGGCATGTAGCAGTAACCCAGATAGTACTGATGCATTAAGGGCAATTGATCTCTTGTATGACACGGCTTTGATTTCCAGTGGCTTCACTGTAAGTCTTAATTTTCCATTTCTACATGAACACACATACTCAAGATGCCTGGCATGTACCCCCCATATGCGCATGCATGCATATATGCTCATATCACATTTACGAAATACACACGCAAGCTTCCTAGCTTTAGTACTGACTCCTCATGTAGTGATGAACTTGAATATGGGTGCTTAATTATTCTTTTATCTCTTCCATGTATTTCAGCCTGAGAATCCATCAGAACTGGGGTCAAAGATATATGAGATGATGGGCGTGGCCATCTCAGGTAAATGGGCAAATCCCGTAGCTGAAGACAGACGTTCACCGAGAGTGGAGAATGCAGAGCCTGTAGAGGCAGAGGTTGTGGAGCCTGTTATTGATGCTAAGGCTGAGAAGTGAGAAATTTTTGTTTACTCTTTGCTCTAGTAGAGGTAATAGAATGGAAATGCAAATTTATAACAAGTGTTTCTATGTAGTAGGCCTTTCTTGTAGGACCATGGCAATATAATTTATTAAAATTTTGGTTGTTAATGGCTTGCTAAAATGGGAAGTGCGTCCAGGGTCTCCACAAGTTTTAGTTTAGAATGAGGTACAGTTGGGAGTTTTTCAAAAGCTGATTGTGAAATAAACCAGGGTGTCCAACTCCTGAATCGTAAGAGAGAATTTGTGAGCTTGCAACTATGATGAAGCGGAACATGGAATTCTCTCCTATATATTACATATTTACAGCAAACTGCTCATCTATACAGGTGAAGCGGCCAAGCCCATATTTTATATATATATATATATATATATATATATATATTTAGAGGAGAATTCTTTCCAATGCACGGTCCAAAGTTCTTTGTCTACCCTCGTCACCGTCTAAAGTTTATTACACGGTCATGATTGTTTCGTAGTATTTTTTTTTTCATTGTTTTTCTACATATCGGAATGATCTAAAATTTGGAGTGTGTATACATATTAGTGAGGTGTATGTAATAGAAATATAAAAAAAATAATTCTAAAAAATAATGACCAAAATACCTCTAAAATATAGTATTTGATCAATTTATTTCATGTAAAATATTTTTTTAATATTGTTTTTAGATTCTTCTATTTTTTATGAACGCACATTTCAATTTTAGATCATTCTAATTTATAGAAAAAAATAAAAAATAGAAATATTACTGGACAATCGAGACCGTGTGATGAACGTTGGATGGCGATGAGGGGAGGCGGAATCACTGTTCATTTTCACCTATAGGCATTTTATAGTATCTTCTTATGTATTTGTTCATTTTTTAATCTAAATATTTTTTGTATATTTTAGTAGAATCGCCTATTTTGTATAAACACACGCTCCAAATTTCTG